AGTCATAAAAGGACCAAGTTTGAAGACCCCTGGCCTGTAGTATGACACTGGCTTTAATGGAAAATGGGAGGTTAGGCTGGAATCTGGTATCTAACTTTTATAAGCAAAAAAACATATGTAATGGCCCAGCTTGATTCAATCCTATGAGTTTCTTTTCAGTCATTCTTTAGAATTATACTCTTGTCAGCACTATTCTTATGTTTTTATAACAAAATGATTAAATTTGGCAATGAGTATTTTATTTCGCTTGAATTGCAGGGATGGCACATAGTCTGGAAAGTTTTATGTGAGCTTATGTCTAAATGTAATTACAATTCGTTGCACTTTTCCCCCTCCAGAGGACTAGATTGACCATGAGGTTTGTAAACCTTGTTCAAGAATTGCCTGCAAGATCCACAAAGGGAATTAGATTAGTCTTCACCCACCCATGTTGGTGGAACATTTTGAAAGCTGTAGTCTTCTGCACTTGGAGTGTACCATTTGAGCTATTCTAGAATAATGTTTTCTGTATGAGCAATGTGCTAGAGTTGATACAGGTCTGTACCTAAATATGCAAACAAACAGAATTCAAATTAGCATATTTATCCCAATATACATGGAGGCCACACAGGTAATTGGCAACATTACTTGGTGTGAAAAAATTACAACTACCTTTTTTATTAAGTTTAAACTGTGCATTCAAGAAAACAAAGAGCTTTGACATGTGGAGAAAAATTATTATGTTGGAAACAAAGTTGGGCAATAGACAGTAAAAGATTAAAAGATATGAAACTGCCAACATTGCCTGAAGTGGAACATTCTCTGTGGAAAACTTTGACCCCAGAAAATTTCCAGTCCACATCTCTGTCATGCCATAAACATCAACTCCTTGCCTTGTTCTAGGTGGCCAACTATACAGATGTTGCTTTAAAATAGATAGGAATTTTTCCTTTCAGTGTCTTGTCTAAGTAACTGCTTTTGACCGCTAGTAATTTATTAAACAGCTAAAAACCAGACCAAGATACGTTTTTTTAAAATTATTTATCTAAACATAGCATTCCAGATTTTATGTACAAAGAATTGTACCATTTCACAAACACTCACGCAATCTTTAAATTAAAAGTGTATAAAACCAAGCGTTTTCTAAAATCCAATTCTAATGAATTTTTCCACTCAGAAATTACCCAAAATGCAGACCAGAAACTTTTATCAGGCATTTTTTGTTTGTGGTAAAAAAAATCCGCAGTCTTGGATACTCTTAAAAGACTGTGCAATATGCAATGTGGGAATTTTGCTTTCTATTAGCATAATCAGCTGATCTTTTTCTTCACAGCTATCAGATGATTTCCCCAGTTTTATTCTTTAGAAACTAATTTGTCAGCTTTTGTTAGAATAATGTTGGCAGTTTTGTAATCATTTTCAGTTTCCAAAGTTATTTGGGAACCCCTATTCAAAGTGTCTTCTGACTCCCTTCCCAGCTTCCTGTTTAGAAAACTTTGAATCCTGCTATTGATAAGAAATTCTACATTACAAAGTGTAAATTTTTTTAAAGAAGTGAAGAATGATGCATCATTATCAGATATTTTAATGTGAAACAGCCCAGTTTGATTTATTGCTTTAAAAAAATAGGAAGGCAGAAGTAACTGAATTCAACTAGAAATAACTATTTATTTTTGTGTCGTCGTTGCTGTTGTTAGTTGTAATAAAGCCATTCCACTCCAAAACACTGGGTGACTTTTTCATGTTGCGCTATCCTTGAAGCCATTCCAATAGATGCAGTAAGTTGATAGTATGCAGTTTGTGATTGAATCCTGATAACAGTTGTTAAGCAAGCTCAAGAGATTTCATTTTCCAGTTGTCAAAAATATTTGCATTCCGCTGAAAAATCATTTCCAAGTGCTTTTGAGACATGTTGAGACATCTTTTGCTCCTATAAAATTCACTCAAATCTTAGTTTCTGTTTATAAGAATGTTTTTGTAGACCATAATTCCTAATCTCTAATTTTAAATGAGTATCTATGGAAAAAGTATCAATACTGCATTCTCAAAGTTATACCAAATAACGAATATAATATCAACTATTATGATAATAGAAGTAACATAGGTAAGAAAGATGTTATTTACAAATCAAGATGTGAATATATTTGACCACCCATGTTTAGGACACAGTCAGTGGAAGTAGTACAGGTAGTCCTTGACTTACGATCCCTTATGACCTATGACCTATTAATTCCCGTTTATATGTATGCTGTGAGCTTATGCATTGGAGACGAATTCCTTGTGTGTCCGATCACACTTGCCCAATAAAGCATTCTATTCTATTCAATTGAGCCCAAAATTTATATTGCTAAGGGAGACAGTTGTTAAGTGAATTTTGCCCCATTTTACAATCTTTATTGCCACACTTGTTAAGTGAATCACTGTGGTTAAGTCAGTAACATGGTTGTTAAGTGAATTTGGCTTCCCCATTGACATTGCTTGTCAGAGGGTCGTAAAATGGGAACACATCCCGTGACACATCCCGTCACATCCCGTGACATTGCAACCTTCATAAATATGAACCAGGTGCCAAGCATCCAAATTTTGATCACATGACCCCCCCCCCCAAAAGTAACATTATGGATCTGGATAAGTTAAAGTTATAAATTGGAAGGCATAATAAATTGGATTGAGCTGACTTGGTACTAATACACATAAAAGAGATTAAGTTTCCTTTCAGCCAGAAGTTAAACATGAGTTAGCAATGTGATGAAGCTGCTTAAAAAAGAAAAGGCTATCTTGGAGTACATTAACAGTAACACAAAGTCAATATTGTAAGAAATAATTACTCCATTCTACTTTTCTCTGGTCAGACTCTTTGGAATGCTGCCCTCAATTCTGAGCCTCACAGTTCAAAAAGGAGGAGATCAGTTTTGTTTTATATTTTTTAAAACTGATTTGTGTAATTTAACTCTGATTCTTCAAAAACATTCAGTTATAAATAGGATTCTACAACAAAACATGGAATCCTTCTTGAGGGTTTCAGACATTCTTTTCTATTCCCCTACTCAGCAATTTTTTTCCCTTTCTCAAACTAAGAACAAACTTATCTTGGATTCCTTTCTCATCCCACTCTATTCCCTCTTTAGACCTTTTTTTCTAGAACGGTTTTGGTTTGTTTGAGCTACCCTGAAACCTGCTTGTATGCCCTTCTTGTACATGAGTGGTACTTTTTTGAGATCCTCAGACATTTTTATATTATGTAAGCGTACATTCTCTTGATTATTGTGTGGTTCAGTGCAAACTGGAACTAAATGCCGTCTTTTGGAATATTCCTGTTCACTCTAGTATACAAATGAGCCATGTGTTTTCTCAACTTTATTCCATTTTAACTCTTCCCTTTTTGTTTTTATTTTCCTTTGTGCATTTACAGAAGCATTGTAATGAAATCACAGGAAGCAATACTTCCATTGCTCTCCTGCGGGCTTCCCCCGCCCAGAATTGACATCGGGAGTGGTGGCTGTGGGTCTCCGGAGGTCCGTTCTGGGCAGGGGAGGCCTCCTGTGGGCATCCGACATCCAGAATGGAGTTCAGGAGTGGTGGCCCTGGGTTTCCGGAAGTTGGGAATGCGCTGCATGGCTCCAGAATCCCTTCTCCGCAGCAGAGGCTTTTTGCAAAGATGGCAAAAGGCTTTGCAAACAGAGGGAAAGCTTCGATGTTTCAGCTGTTACCTCCATTTGCAAAGCCTTTTGCCACAGATCTCGTCCAGGACTCCGTTTGCAGAGAACAGAGACTTAAAATATCATGAGATAACATGAGATCAGTATCGTGAGATCTCACATGATCTTGTGGTACTTTAGGTCTCCATTCTCTGTGAGTACACGGAAGGCCTGAAGCAGCAAATCAGCCAAGAAGCGAAGACTAGCTAGATCAGGGGTGTCAAACTGCCGGCCCGTGGGATGGATGCATCACAGTAAAACCGCACCCACCCCATTGCTGGCAATGGGAAAAAGGCACGACACGTCACGATGCGTCACGTGATGTCAAGAGTTGACACCCGTGATCTAGATCTTCACAAAGTGAGTATCCACAGGCCTAGTGCCTAGGGAGACCCGGGGGGGGGGGAAGAGCCAGGGTGAATGTTGCAATGCTTCTGCGGTCGTTCATAAGAATGAACAACTGCCTTGGTGCAGCAACATTCATTTTGTAAACACTAGGGGGCGCTTATCGCGTAACTACGAACGTTCGCTAAGGGAACATTCGTAACTCGGGGATTAGCTGTAAATTTATTGTGGCTTAAAACTAACTGGGCACCAGGGACCAATGCCGTGGAGAAAGGATTTTCCGTGGACCAGAGGGGGTGTGGTTTTGTGTATTGCCTGCATCCTCTGGGTGGGGCTTTGCTTGTTTGTGTGGCCCAGTTGCTGGCATGCTGCGGACTGATGCTGGTCCATGGACCGGGGGTTGGGGACCCCTGTTTTATAGGATTAGTTGCTATGTGGTATTTACAAAATTAGTGATAAAAAGATATGTTAACTAAGTTAAAATAACAAATGACCACTCTTTCATTTACTATGAGATGAATTTTATAAATGTAAATACAGAATTTTAGAATGAATCTCTTTTTCAGTGTCATTATTTTATCATGTTATCTAATGTTATAATGATATCATCCCAGGTGACACAATTTATATTATTTATATCCTTTATATTGTTAGGGTAATGGTGCAGTAAATAATATTTGCAAAATTACATCATCACACAAACAATGTAGATTAATATAGATGGTGTCATATGTGTCATGGATGCGATGACATTATATAAACGGTGTATAATGGAGAAATTATGTAAAATAATGAATCTAATGGTGGAATACAGTTCCTTGTATGCAAAGTCTGTTGCCTCAAGGTTTTGCCTCAAGTTATTGTTATAACTTTTTAATATACTGTATGTGCTACTTTTTTCTATGGAGTTTGTATATTTTATTTCCTTGATGAAAGTAATGAAAATATTCTTAAATACCATCACTTGTCTTGTTCTAGAACGGTGGCAGCTGAAGTACGGAAACAGATTTCAGGGCAATATGGAGGATCACCACAACTTCTCAAGAATCTTAATATTGGGGGCACCATTTCCCATCATACAACTGTAAGTAACTTCTTAGATTTGTAAACAGCAGTCCCAGTGCATATTGCCATCAAATTAAGCTCACCCTTCCAAATTTAAGAACAGCTAAGTTTTGGTAGTTCATGAATTGCATTGGAATGTATGGAATTTGTAGGATTCCAAGTACAAAGAAATATTTTAATCAGTTGACAAAGCCCCTATTCTGGATTCATTTAGTCTATTTACTGATATTTGGAATGTGCAAGATTATACAGCACTGTTTGTTGTTCGAATTTGGGGTTTTTATTTCAGTCCTGTAAATTGCAATTTGTTCATTGTAAACCAATTAAACAATACTAGCTACAATAACAATAGGCTTATTTAGCAAACGGGTTTGCCCGGTGCATATTAGAACTTTGATATGGGGTTTTTTATGTCCAATTTTGCCTTAATCAAATTAAATAGGAATCTAAACCCTAAACCCTAAAAATCTAATGTGAGTTTTGCAATGAATGTGCGTATAGGAACATTCCATATCTAATCTCTATTCTAATTTAACATAAATTGGTATGCTTGTGGAGTCACTAGGAAACATGAAGACTTCTAGGATACAATGTTAGCCAGTTATTTAGAATTCTATTTAGGAAGGTATTAAAAGTTAAATTAGTGTCATTTGAACGCAGCAGGGTGTGTTTGGGTGCAATGACTACAGTACTAATTTCTGCAATAAAATCTTTTTCAGGCTTGCCATTTTACTGGCATCCTAAGTCATTTGTACAGTTTCTGTACATTTCTAGCAAATGAATAGAGGGAGCTAGCAACCCTTTGCTTGCTGATAAACTTGGCAGCTCCCGTTGTTATAAATCAGGTTCATATTCTGAATGTTCCTTTTTAAAAAAATTCCTACCCAGAATGAGAATAAGGTTATGCATAGCCAGTTTCTTAATCCCACTGAATTCTTTAATTGCTAGCGGTTGGGTTGTGTGTTCATGCTTAGTTCATGCAATCTGTGACAGGACAGTAACTTTAATGAATGGGCTACTCATATACTATTATGTGGTAGACCGCAAATCACCTGACATTAATGTAAAAGTCAGATTGAAATTAAATAAAAGGCTGTGCATTTGTTAAATCTTGTTTTATTGAAATATGAAAAGGTCAACGACTCCTACTCTTTTCTTTCATTTCTGAGACATTTCTTTGAACATTTGCCATTGCCCAGTGGGGTACTAGTATTAGAGCAAGATTTATCAAGAGGACTGATGAGAATTCATTCTGTCTATTAAAAGAAGTTCATTCTTTTCACCAGAGCTGTGGCTATTCTACCAGCAAGGGAAAAAGAAAATCAATTGATTGGGTGAAACTTTAGGCCCCAATTATTTGATGGATTGCGAACCAGTTAAGAATTGTGTCTTGACACATTTCAGTATCTGAGGCAAGTCTTGCCTAAGTACCATGTCTTAATTAAATAATTAAAATTTATAGCCTATTCTGGGTTTAGCTCAGTTGGGATTAAAAGAATGAAATGAAATAACTATCAGGCAGAATATGGTTTCCAAATCTTTTGCAAATAGTTCCTGCTGACATTCTAAATGAATTTGCTTCAATTCTCATCAGACAAGTGCTTTATTGAGCTAGTTCAAATGACGAGACGCTTGAAGATATGCTGCTGCCTGTTTGAGTGTGGAACCACAAAAGAGACAAAGTTATAGAAAATGAAGAAACTAAAATATTCAAGCAAATAAGTACTTGCCACATGATACTTTACAGTTAACAATTATTGATAAGAAAGACAAAAAAGTCTGTATAGTGGAGGCACAGTGCCTGTTGACAGCAAAATAGAAGAGAAAGGACTGGGGGGAAAAAATCACAAAATTTGAAGACCTGCAAATAGAAGTAGAATGACTGTGGCTAAAGAAAGCAAAAATAATAAAAATAGTAATAGGTGCCATGGATGTAATCCCAAAGCATCTATAGTACCACCATTGCCATTGACAAAGTCATAATCAGTCAATTACAAAAGTCAGCTTTACTTGGAACAGCTTACATCAGTGATGGCGAACCTTTTAGAGACCGAGTGCCAAACTGCAACTCAAAACCCACTTATGCATCGTCGGGTGCCGGGTGGGTGTGGCCCATTGGCTGGGCGTGGCCCATTGGCTGGGCATGGCTGTGGTGGTAACGGCAAACTGGGTGGGACTAAAAAGTTCAATCAACCAATTCCAACTTTGCAAGATCTTTTTTTTCCCGCGAGAAGTTGAAATTGACTGATTGATTGAACCTTTTTTTTTGCACATGGCGGCGGAGGCCTAAAGCGAAAAGGTTTTATAAAACCCAGCTGAAGGCCTAGGACTGGGGCGACGGCGTGCTTGCCCACAGAGAGGGCTCTGAGTGCCGCCTCTGGCACCCGTGCCATAGGTTCGCCACCACTGGCTTACATCCTGTGATGATACATTTAATCTTATTAAACAACAACATCTGCCGATCTCAGGTCTTTGGAAAGGACTCAATAAGTGGACAAAATGCCAAATCCAGTCTAAACATCTGGCTGACTATGTGATTATCATAATAAAAACAGCTTTTGATGGCTGCAGTATTAATAAGTGGAAATTGGAATATATTTATACATCTTTAATTATATTTCGGTATGTTAAACAAACAGAAATCTTTGGCATAGTGCCTCCCCACTGTGAGTCTACCAACCAGAAAGTTAACTTCATTTTTCTAAAGTAGGAAATTACTCCCTTGTTTTAGTAACTATGGTTACCAAATGTATGGTTTAATATGCTGTTTTTGCTCCAACGTGGTAATCATAGTTTCCAGATTTTGATGAAATGGGAAACAAAGGTAATTAAAGGCTTCCTGATTTAATTGGAGCTTGCAGAAAAGAATTTGATTTGTGGCAAAAGGCTTTTTCTAAAAAGCAAACAAACAAACCATCTCCTCAGCTATGAGGCTTAACTTTTTGTAAAGTATTCAAGTATCTCCTGTGTTAGGAACCCTCCTGATGTGTTGGGAATACAGCACCAAAGATGGGAAAAATGAATACTAAGAAGGAATGCTTTCTGGCGTTAGTTTTTCATGTGTTGACTAAGTTTGTTTTGGAGGTTAGCATTCCATCCTATGAATTTGTAGTCTAAATGTCTACAGATAGTCCTCAACTTATAACCATTCATTTAGTGATCTTTCAAAGTTACAACGACACTGAAAAAAGTGACTTAAGACCATTTTTCACATAACCGTTGCAGCATCCCCATAGTTACATGATCAAAATCTGGATGCTTGGCAACTGGCCTGTATTTACCGTATTTTCCGGCGTATAAGACGACTTTCTAAACCCTGAAAATCTTCTCAAAAGTTGGGGGTCGTCTTATACGCCCAGTCGTTTTATACGCCAGAAAATACGGTACTTTGAAATTGTTGGGTTAAGCTCGTGGGGTTCCAATTGAGAGCGCGCTACTCTCCTCGGTTCACTGCATTGGCAAATGCAATCACGACCCACGAAGATTCGTCTTAAATGCGCCATGAGATACTCCACCGGGACCGCTAAAGGAAATATTTTTGGGGCGTTAATACAGCACGAACAAGTGGTAAAGTGACGCCGCTCCTCTCCTAGGGCCTCCCTCCCCTCCAGCTAACTTCGCCGGATACCGCGGAGAGAAGCGCCCTCCCTCTGGCTCTCCCCGTGAGCCCTAGGGCAAGCGGGGGCGGACTGAAGCAGCGATAAAAGTTAGGCAGAGAAGGACCGCCCAGCCGCGGCCGCCTTACCCGAACTAATCGCGGAAGCGGCTGCTGGCCTGCTCGCGCCTCCGAATTCTTGACTTACAACGTGGCGGGGCAAGGCAGGGCAGGGCAGGCATAGAAACCGCAGCAACAGCGCGGCCTACCTGGGTCCCTTCTTCCGCTGCAGAGGAGAGTCACCAGAGAGGAAAGCAAGGGAGAAAAGGAATCGGCATTTTCCTCTGAGCTTCAAACTTGCCTTCTGGTGAACCTCGCCTCCGTTGATAGAATGGGATGCCCACTTGGAAGAGGAAAACCATTTTCAGGAGAGGGGTCAACCGAGGAAGGATGGTAGCGACGGCTCCCCCTCCTACAGTCAAATTGGGTGGAGAACCTTTCCAATAATGTTAAAAGGGATTTTTTTC